GTCAGGTTTACTAAACTTTTTATCATTGTTGTTGCTCTCCTCTGGACTCTCTCCAATTTGTCCACATCTTTCTTAAAGTGTAACACCCAGAATTTTTAAAGATAGGTACTGTATTTGCCCTTCTCTAGTCCTCTGGGACCTCACATGTCCTCCATGAGTCCTCAAAAAATAATTGCTAACAATTCCAAGATTGCTTCAGCTTATTCCTTAAGTGCCCTAGAATGCATTTCATCAGACCCTGATGACTTGAATACATCTAACTTATCTAAATATTCTTTTACTTGCTCTTTCCCTATTCTGACTTGCATTCCTTCCCCCTTGCTGTTAAATGTCTTAAGTATCTGGTCACAATTTACCTTTTTAGTGAAGACTGAAGCAAAATAGGCATTAAATACCTCAGCCTTCTTGATGTTGTCCTTTATTAGCTCTCCTTCCCTGCTAAGCAGAGGACCTCCAGTTTCCTTTGTCTTCTCTTGCTCATGCTTATGAATAAAATAAGAACTTACAGCTGGAATCAAATCCAAATCAAAACTCTAGAGCTGAACTTCCCCAAACTTAAGGAGGTTCAAACTTCAGTGTGAATTTTGCAGTTCAGGTCAAGCTCTGAGGATAGCTTCCTTCTTAGCAATATTAATATGTGCTTGGCTCTGTGCAAGACTCAAAGGTCAAGACTGTTCTTGCCCCAAATCCCTTACAGCCAATCAGACAATTAATGCACACTCCATTGAGATAATAAGTGGAAGGTGCTATGCAAAGAAATCACCAAGTACTGGATTTGCCAGCAATTTCAGATCCTTGTCTGAGGAAACACCTATTAAATGGAAATGAAAAAACAGCTCATTTGCAATCAGTTCATAATTCACTTGAGAAAAGGAAGTTACCCATCAAGCTGACTCCCCGCTGTGGGTTAGCTCACTCTGACAGCAAAGTGGGGAGAGTAGGAATCTCTCAGAACATTCCTACAGAGCCCATGTTGTTTCCTGATGTTGATTCCTGATGTTTCCATGTTGTTTCATGATCTCACACCTGTGACCTGCTATTATGCATAGACTAGAGCAATGCTTGGGTTGACTGCATATACAAAGTGCTAATGGTTACGCTGTTCCTGTTCCTCACAGGCACGCACTACAGCAGTGGTGGGCAACCTGCGGCCCATCAGGGTAATCTGCTGGCAGGCTGCGAGACAGTTTGTTTACATTGACCGTCCGCAGGCACGTCCGCAGCTCCCAGTGGCCGCAGTTCACCGTTCCCGGCCAATGGGAGCTGCGGGAAGTGGCGCGGGCTTCAGGAACGTGCTGGCCGCGGCTCCCATTGGCCAGAAACGGCGAACTGCGGCCACTGGGAGCTGCAGGTGGCCGTGCCTAAGGATGGTCAATGTAAACAAACTGTCTTGTGGCCCGCCAACGGATTATCCTGATGGGCCGCATGTGGCCCACGGGTTGCCCACTACTGCACTACAGGATAGCACCACGCACTCACAGTGTCACACACAATTCTGTGGGTTTAAAGTGCCATTCTGTACATGAAAGGACTCTAAAAATGGTACTGTGTGGTCCCTGGCTCTGTCTCTTGCTGATTCCAGATCAAAAGTGCTCACTCTCTTAAAAAACAAAACTTATTTGAACTACCAGCCCTTCAAACTCATGCCGAGATGCAAGAATCAAGCTGGGTTCATTTTCTTATGCACTATCATCTGTTTACATAAAAGTAAACAATATGAGGAAACAACATGGGCACAGTTGGGTCTCAAATAACCATGCTTCTTAAAAAGACACACACATGCCAGGCCTAGCTACATACCTGCTGCTGCATGACTATTTCTGAAGGCTACTAACACAGAACATGGTGAGAAACACTAGTGAGCTCACACACTGTTTAAATGGATGCAACCCTATTCCTATGCACGATAGGCCTCATTGCCAGTAACAGCGTTTCTAAAGGCTTGATGACACCTGTGCAGCCCCAGTTGCCTTCAGTGGGCTCGCCAAATTGTTTGGAACAATTGTCCTGATGATGCACAAGGAGGAATAGAAACAAATTCACCCTCTCAGTGGTGCTGGCTCCAGCTGGGCTAACTCAAGTAAAAAGCAGGAAAAAAAATCATTTTTGATTTCTAATTACAACAGATTTATATCCACAGACAGGATCAGTGGAGTGAGAAGGTGCCATTTTTATATAGTCACTTTTCAGTACAAGCCACACCTAAGTAGTAAATATGTGTGTGCTTTTAATCTCAGAGTAGAGCCCAGTGTGTGGGAAACCGTGCATGCCACATGACAACATAAAACCTGCCCTAAAGAGTTTGCAATCTGATGATGCAAACTGTGTCTGCACAGCGCCTAGCACAACGGAGCCCCATTCTGGGTTGGTCCCTAGGCGTAATAAATATGATTAATAATAACAGTAGACACGATGGAGCAAGCGACAGTTACAGGCAACAGGTGGGGGAAATAGGAGGCTGTGCAGACAATGGGTTAGAAAAGGTCACGTAGGTACTTGGTTATTATGGATGCATCTTTTTATAAAATCCATTCCCCCTCTATTTGTGTAACCCAGGCTGGCCCGGTGTAGATCTTTGTGCTCCCCGCCCCACCAGCAGCTCCTTCACCTAAGCAGTAGAGAGCTGGACAGTATATTATTTCTTTTCCCATAAAAAATAACTCAACAAAAAACAAAAACACTTTTTGTCATTTCCATTGAAAGTCCCCCCGGCCCCCCCCTTAATTTTGGATGAAAAACTGGCAGATGAAATTTTTGAAATATCGACTGCAGGAAATCAAAACATTTGCAAAAACTTGTCAAAAGTAGTCATTTTCTGTTAAAAACCATTTTGATCGGCTCTACAGAGGTTACAGAAGAGTCTGCTACAACCACTATGTAGAGCACCTCATCCTAAAGATCAAACTGTAGGTTCTTGTACTTTGACCATCCCAGGTTCAAAACCCACTGTCACCTCATGTAAGAGCAGTTACATATACTCCTTGCACACTCTAAAAAGCCCTTCTCTGGAAGAGTGCTTGCTCACTCAACTCCCTCTTGCTCCCACTGCCCTGCTGTCACCCTCCACCACACCAAGCATCTCTCTTCTCCAAACCCCATCCAGACACACCAAAATATATTATTTAACATTATCATTGCAGCATACGGGTCTGCGTGCTGCTCCTGGTGAGTAAAGGAACAGCTGAATTTACAACAATCGACCAGGGCAAACCAGGCCCTGAGGGGAAAGAGGAGTGCGCTGATTGAATATGGTGATGGGGATGGCACTATGCAATCATTTAACTCCTGGTATAGGGAAACCCAGTAAGAGCCAGCATAAGCTCCAAGCCTGCAGACTGTCTGATTTTCACTCTTTTATTGGAGGTGACATTCCTGGATTCCTCTGATGTGAACTTGAATGCAACCATGGCCATGGAAATCCAGAAACGGGAGCTTTGGCGGAAGCAGTCACGCAACAACCAGGCAGGAGTTTCCTAGTTTTGCTACAGGGTTAATCTCTTCCTCTTCTCTCCACAAGGATCCTACCCAGAGATAGGGTGACCAGACAGCAAGTGTGAAAAATCGGGACGGGGGTGAGGGGTAATAGGAGCCTATATAAGAAAAAGACCCAAAAATCGGGACTGTTCCTATAAAATTGGGACATCTGGTCATCCTACCCAGAGGACACCAGAAGGCAGACTATGGGAAGCACTGTATAACACTCACCAGGGCAGCATAAAGGGCCTTGCAGAGACACTCCCCGCAAGGCTGAACAGGAGAGGGGCAATCTGGCCAGAGATGTGCCAGCAGCCAGCTGTTTCCAACAGCGGCGTGGGGCCACAGCATGCAGGCAGCCTGCCTGAGCCCTGCTATGCCACTGGACTTTTAGCAGCCCAGAGATCACGATCGAGGCTCCAGGATTGACCAGTTGATTGCGATTGTATAGAATTATGAATCTGACACTGAATTGTATAGAATTATGGATTTATTTTTGCCGGGGGGGGGGGGCTTAGCCCGAGGCCCTGGGCTGCAGCCCCTAAAGCCCTTGCATTAATCCGGCCCTGGCCATGAGCCCACTCTTTTTTTTAAAATTGACTAACTCGCATTAACATTGCTGTTTGTGAAACAGGCCACTGCGCCAGCCTGAAAGCAAGGTGCCCTGCCATCAGGATGCATCCCCTGAAAAATACCTTGTGCCAGCTACTCGGGACACAGGCACATCATGGGTATGAGTGGGGGCTGGCACTGCCTTAGCCATTACAACAAGCGGAGCACAGCACTGTTACTAGCGCCGGATTCTCACAGGCTGGGGGCACTGGTGCTTGTACATTTTAAGGCCAGAGGAACTATTATGCCGACCACCCAGTCTGAGCTCCTGCCTAACACGGGCCCTGCGCAGCACCTCACCCCGCCACCGCTGCATCAAGCCAGTGACCTGAGGCTGAGCTCCAACACCTCTCGGAAAAACAGCCGACGGGCGGTAACCCACGGCTCAGCCCCACGCTCTAGCTCCCGCAGAGTTACAAGCGCTCGCTGCGGCGCTCTCTGTGCTGGGGGTGGCAGCACACCGGGAAAGGAATAAAGACACGTTGGTCACCACTAGCGCCCCCGCCCTGGTTTGGAGGCAGGTGGCACCGGGGCGAGAGAGGGGAATTGGGGGGGGTGCGGGCGAAGATCGGTTTGAAACCCACCTTCCAGTACAGCCTCTGGGCATCTCGCTCCGGAGCGTGAGACCCACAAGCCCGCCCCGCCGAGCGACCAGGCCGCCCTGCCCCGTGGCGGGGGGTTCAGGAGCGAAGCCCGGCCACGGGGGCAGGCGCCACCCCGGCTCCAGGGCCCCGGGCCACTGCAGCCTCCGGGGCGCTGCCGGCCGCTCGCCAGCCGGATTCCCCGCGGGCTTCCCCGCCCCTCGCGCGGAGGGAGCTCCGGGGCCGGCTCCGGCCCGGCTCCCGCGGCGGGGGTGGGATGCAGGCGGAGCTCCGGGGCCGGCTGCGGAGCGGGGGCGCCCGGGGGATACTCACCGCGCGCCGCTGCCTGCGGGGCCCGGGCAAACGCGCAGCCCCGGCCTGCGGAGCTCGGCAGCCGCCGGGTGGGGGGAGCTTCCTCCGCTCTCCCTCCAAACCGCTTAAAGAGACAGCGGCCGCTTTGTGCTCCGGCGCCGCGCGGGCCCCCGGGCGCTGGGGGAGGGGGGCGGGACCTAGCCCCGGGCTGGATCGCAGCGCGGGGGGGGGCCCTGCGGGGAGATGCTGGGGGAAGGGACCTGGCAACTGCTCCCAAAGGGGACACCGGGGGAGGAAATTAGGGCCAAGCCCCAGAGCAATATGGGGGAGGGTTGGAGAGTCCCAAGCCGGTGTGTGTGCGGGGGGGGGGGGGGTATTTATTTATTTTTTTACCACCCAGGGACAATTGCATCGCGTGCCCGTGGGGGAGACAGCGCAGAGCTGCTAGCAGGGATTGCCAGGGAGCCCATCGCTGTGGCATCGAGCCATCAGGCAGGCACAGCCCTTGGGTAAAGGCCTAGGCCCACTAACATGCTGCTGGGAGGGGGAAGGGATCCCTGCCGAAGGGCCAAGAGCAAGCGGAGCTGCCCCGCGAGGAGGGAAGGGCTGAGGGAGTGGAGAAGAGGAGCCAGGTTCATGGCTGTGCGCTGGGGGGGGGGAAGGGAGCCGTTCCTAGGGCGGCCAGTCTCAAAACGCTGCAGGCTGGTGGGTGGCTGCACTGTGCCAGCAAGACGCGACTCAACCGTGCACAGGAATTTCCCCCGTGCACAGGTGGGCAAAGAGGACGCCACCTCCCGCTTGCAGTGGGGCCCCTGCTGCTATCTCCGGGGGAAATCACCAACACTTGACGCAACTGGCTGCTGTCTCATGCGGCTCGAACAGGAGGCTCGGCCCCCTAGGCTCAGGTCCCCGCAGCTAAGCAAAAGAGGAACCGCTCAGCAAATATTTCAGCAGGCCAGGGCTGCCTCGGTTCTGTCTAACCCCGCAGCGTTTCGTGCAGGGGCAAGGCGGGGAGAGAGGTGAAATCAGACACAGTTCCAGGCTCGGTGCTGCTCGACAGAGGGGTCCCCATTCTGATCCTAGCTGGGGAGTTTTTTGGTGACCAAGATTACATTTTGGCTTGAAAATTAAGTATTATCAACCCTATTCATTCAATAGGAATAAGGTCCCCTCGCCTTGTAAATAAAGAGATTTTTAAACCAATCACCAGTGTTTTGAATAATAAGGGGGGTGCTTTTTTTTCTTCGCTGGTTTCTGAGCCTTTAGGCTGCACTTACTGCATGCTTCTAGCTTTTCTTTACCACCATACCGACTAGACACCTCAAAGAAAAAGGAAGTGAAAACTAACATTCTCACCTGATTAGCGCTGGACCAGGCTAGAAGGGCATTCGAGCTCCCCCAGTACTTCTGGCAAAGGAGGGGGGCTAGGCCCCAGGCCCAGCAGCTGCCACCTACAGTCCAAGCCACGCCCAAGACACCGTGAGTGGCCCTGGGCCCCAGGGCCCACATAGAAGGCCCTGGGCTGGGGAGTCTGTCCCAGAGTGTCAGTGCTGTGGAATGGGAGGGCAGGCCTTGGCACTTCCCCAAGCCCCCTGCAGGAGGAGGGACCATGCAGCACCAGGGTTTTGCACAGAGAGCAGCGTGCTCGGGATCCGCAGATACCTCCCCCTGTGCTTTCTGGGCTGTGGCCTGCCCTGGTTCCAGGGGCCCAGGCTTGGCACATCTCAGCAGAGGGGGAGTTACTATGGAGCCCCCAGCACCCCTGTAGAAAGCCCCAGTGGCTACCCTGCCTGGGACAAGGGTTCAGGGAAGTGCTAGGGCCTCCCGTCCCAGCCCGCAGCACATGGACTCGAGCAGGCGCTTCCTTATTGGAGAGGGACATGAGCACCCTTGTCTCTTACTTCCTGTGGGGGGGTGGGTCCTTGGCTGCAAGGCTCTCTGCACTTCTGTCTTGGACATGGCCAGGGAGGCAGCAGCTGCTGGATCTCTGCTCAGACCCAGCTGGGGCGGGACCTTAGCCCCCCTCTGTTGAGCCTTCTCCCTCCTTCCTCTATAATCAATGCTACTGACTCTGCCTTCGTTCCCACAAGACACTGCGGGGGAGGGAGGGGTGCAGGAGGCAGGAAAGGAGCCTTTTACTGCTCCACAGGCCGAAAGGTCCCAGCTGGAGTATAGTGACATCCCGCCTCCCCTTTGCTGCTCCTAAGCAAGTAGATCCAAACTGGTGTCAACAAAAGGACTCAAGCCCTGCCCCAATCATATGACTCCAGCTACTGGGGCTTTAAGAAATACACCATTTCCAGAGTTGGCAATGGACTCCTTCACAGTCCATGGCCATTTTCCTCTCTTTATGTCCATCTTCCCATGTCCAAATGATCCTTCACCCTTATGGAGAATGTAAGAGACAGTAGTACATTTTATCCATGGAGTTTGTTTTTTTGGGACAACCTTATAGAAATCTATAGGATGATTACAAAAAAACCTATAGCAAGGAGATCATTCTTCATTAAATTCTATAGGGTTTTAGACTAAGTTCTACAGAAAAGTGGTTTTCAAACTTTTCCATACTGGGGACCTCCCCCTCCCATCTAGCCCTATGGAAGGACAAAGTTAGCTGCAACTGCAGGTTGAGAATCCCTGCTCTAAAGCTGTATTAGTTTCATTCCTGTTACATTCCATAGGATTTTTCCATAAAGTTGAGAGTGTAGGGAACACTCCCCCTCCCCCAATTTTGAGGCGTTCCTCACTGGAAAGGGGGGTTAAGGAGAGTGGAGTTTTCCTGCTCTTGTGGCAGGTGTGAAGTCCCCTGCTGTGATGCTGATAGGGAGCCCTTTGAGGTCTCCTACCTTGAAAGGTGTCTCACTTGGGCCTGTGAAGCAGCACCCTTTAAGGAATAAGCCTGCCCTCTCCTATACATGGGACCTAGAGATGCACTTACTTAACCCGTCAACCACACACAACATTCATTGCAAGAACTGTTAACAAAACAAATTGTGTGTGTGATAGAAGTCATAGAGACAGCTTTCCATTAACACACAGTTCCCCTTTCGTGCTTGCTATGGTTATCCCCCTAGTAAGTTAAGGGTGTTTGGAGAAATTGTTTTGTCTGGAAAGTGGTTAGAAAACCCAAGATATTTGGCTTTCCCACTTACAGTAGCTGTAAGAGAGATAGATCCATGCCCTCACTGAAAATCCCCCCCCCCCCCAATCAATCTTGGGCACACAGGCCCCATGCCATAAAAGAGCCTTCACCAATCATGGCCTCATACCCCGACTGTATCATGTCACATCCCCACACATCAGTCCCTAGAAAGGACCTTACCTCTCCCCTGCCCCCCACGTCCGTCCCTTCACGATGATGTTGTTATAAACCTCCCTCTAACCCTTTACCTGAGCCACTGCGGAACTCAAAGCACTTGCAAATGATCCACTCCTCTTTTGGCTTCGACTCTCACCTTCTGAAAAAGGGCCCAGCAGAATGGGTGGGGTGAATAAGTAAGGCTGCGTGTGGGGGATGAGACAGCAGCATGTTGCAAAATGTATACGCTGCAAAATATTTCCTCTTCCTGGAGTGCTCTTTCATATAAATGGAAAGTGAAAGCAAAAACTACTGCCACCCTGAGCTACTGATTTGGGTCTCCTGTCTTTTCATTGTGGTCTCTTCCTCTTCTTACAACCTCCAGGTGCCCGTAGCCAACCTGTGGTAGATATAGGGAGTGTAGCCTTCCTCTACCTAGGGGTCCTTTCCAGGCCAGGCGTATTTGTTTCCTGAAGTGGAAAAACCAGAATCCTTGTCAGGCTCGTCTTATTATTTGTATTATAGTAGCACCTGGAGGCCCCAACTGAGCTCAGAGCCCCATTGTGCTACGTGCTGTACAGACACAGTGGGAGAGAGCCCCTACCACTGTTACAATCTAAACAGACAAGACAGGGGGGGGGGGGGGAAGCAAATATCTCCATTTTACAAACAACTCTGTAGCACAGAGCTGGGAAGTGATTTGCCCAAGGTCACAGAGCAGGTCACTTGCAAAGCTGGGAATTTAACTTAGATCTCAACTCCCAATCCAGTGCCTTAACCAGAGACCATCTTTCCTCTCTATCCATCTTCCTTTTGAACAACAGGAGAGAGGCCCCCTACAAGCCAAATATAGCCTCTTTGGCTGACACCAGGGAAATCTTTCCCAGGGCAACTGTAGCTGCCTCCAAAGTGGAGTAAAGACCAGAGCCAGTCAGGACAGACATTTGGTGTCAGAGCATTTGACACCAGCTTACAAGGATCTATCACAGGGCTGGCCAACCTGCACCTGAGAAGGAGACAGAATTTACCAGTGTACATTGCCAAAGAGCCACATTAATATATCAGCAGCCCCCCCATCAGTTCACCCCCCCCCCGCGCCCCGCCTGCCAGCAGCCCTGCTGATCAGAGCCTACCCCTCCTTCCTCATGCCTCCTGTGGCATGAAGGAGGCTCTGGGGGGAGGGGGAGGAGCGAGGGCGAGGCAGGCTCAGGGAAGGGGTCAGGAAGGAGTGGGGGCCTTGGGGTGAAGGGGTGAAGTAGGGGCAGGGCCTGTGGCAGAGTCAGGGGTTGAGCAGTGAGCACACCACCCTCCTCCCCCCTGGCACACTGGAAAGTTGGCACCTTTGTTGGTGTCTGTGCAAGGAGCTGCATATTGGCTTCTGAAAAATGCATATTAGTTTCTCTGGAGCCACAGGTTGGCCACCTCTGATCTTTCTATATTAAAAAGATTAGAGCTGTTTCCCCACTGCCACCTGGAGGGCAGACGTGATGGCATCCCCAGTCAGTCAGTCTGTGGAGAAGGAGCTGTCAAACAGTGAGGAATAATCTAGTCAGCGCAAAGCCAGTGTGTCACATCAGCTCCTCCCAGCCTCATCAGCATAGCAGGGCAGCTTGTATTTTCCAAAACATGGTTTATTTACTTACTGTAAAGAAGAATAGAAGTTTGCACGAAGCTTTACTTTCAACATTTAGGATTTCCCCAGCTGGGATTCTCCCAACGGCCTGTAAATTTCCTGATGGGTGAACAGGGCAATGACAGATCTGGTGACTTGCTTAGTCATATGCTCAGTCAGCAGTGTCACTGGGATTAGAAACCAAGTTTCTTTGTGCTCCCAGCCCCTTTGTTCCAACCCTGTATCACATGGGCTCATTCATTAAGGGAACATCACCTACCAGTTGCGGCCAAAGCCTGTTCTCTTAGAACAGGTATAACTCAGACTGGAAGGCTCTCCCCACTGAAGGCAAACAGACTAGTCTCTGAATCCTTCCAATCTGTTGCAGATATTGCTCCACAGCTGCAGATACTGTAGCTAATCAGCCCCGAAGATGCACACAGCAAGGAGCCTGGGAGCGGAGCGCACATTGGTATAACGAATGGAATGTGTATTGCATATGGTAGAGAGGCCTAGAACGGCACAGGCGCTGGTGTCACTTGCAGTGTGGGGTGGGTTTAATACAGCAAGGAGAGCAGGGACAGCTTATGCTGGGACTGCAGACTGAGGTGAGGGGATAGGATTGCACACCAGAACTGAGCAGGAACATTTAATGGAAAGCAGCGAGTGAATGCACATCGCTCACACCATGGCATCTAATGCTGTAAGAGACTAGAGATGAGAGCATGCACCAGTGTTATGCATGGAGCCAGGGCAGAGCCAGACCAGAGGTTTTTGCTGGGATCTGATATCAATGGCCCATGTCACTAAGTTAATGCAGATGAAGGCAGCTCCTTCTGATTTTATGACTCCAAAGGAAAACCAGCTGCTCCAAGGTGGTCAGCACCACATCTGCTGGCTCCATGGCTCTCCACTAGGCAGAAACACACACTGCAGCAACTTGAGGAACAATGGGCATTTCCTTTGAAAGAGGGCTCACAACTGGCACAACACCCCTCTGCAACTTAGACATTAGCTCCCCTCTCCCACATTTATGGCCTGGTGCCAGTTCCTAGGATTCATTTGGTTCCTATATTCCCACCCTGCCAGCACCCTCTAGGCTATTTCATCTTTCGCCATTGCCAGCTCCTCCCCTGGAGAAGAACTGAGAAATCATGTACGAGATGGGGAAAGAATGGGACATTGTGCTGGGCTTTATCCAGGGGTGAAAGTAAATTAAAGGACTTACCAGTACGCCGGAGTCCTGAGTGGGGGCATGGCCTCAACCAGAAGAGGCGTGGCCTAAACCAGAAGAGGCAGGACCTTTAAATCAAGATTTAAAGGGCCTGGGGCTCTGGCCGCTGCGGGGAGCCCCGGGCCCTTTAAATTACTGCAGGAGCCCTGCCGCCGCTACCCCGGGGCTCTGGCAGTGGGGCTCGGACGGCACTTTAAAGGGCCCAGGGCTCTGGCAGTGGGGAGCCCCAGTCCCTTTAAATCGCTGCCCAAGCCTGGCTGCCGGAGCCCCAGGGTAGCAGCAGCAGGGCTCTGGTGGTGATTTAAAGGGCCCGGGGCTCCGGCTGCTGTGGTGAGCCCCAGGCCCTTTAAAGCAATGCTCAAGCCCTGCTGCCGGAGCTCCAGCAGTGATTTAAAAGGCCTGGGGCTCCCCGCAGCAGAAGCAGCTCTGGGCCCTTTAAATTGCCACCGGGGAAGCCGGTCTGGTCCAGCACAGCGTACCGGCTTACATTCACCTCTGGCTTTATCAGAACAGCAGACTTGTTTGTTGTATCTCAGGTCAAAAGAACTCACATACTTCAACTGGGGCACAAAGATAAGTGACTTGCTCATGGTCACAAGATAACTCCATGGCAGAGACAGGAACAGAACTCAGGTCTCCTGCCACCCAGCCCTGTGCCTTCATGACAGGATCAACCTCTCACGCTCCTTTATTCCCCCTTTTGAAGTCCAGCATGGAAACAAGCAAACAAACAGTAAGTGAAACAAATGGCAACTCCAGCAACAAAAAGAAAAAAAAATAATGAATGACTTTATTTTTTAGTTCAGTTGGCCACCTGAGGTGCTAAAATCTCAACACCAACAAAGCAAGTGTGCATAAAAAACAAAAAATAAAACACAACCAAACTGAAGAAAACAGGCTGGATGTTTTATACGCGTAGGATACACACTTTCCTGTTAACACTCCACACTCACCAACTATAAAAGCCTTGAACAGTCTGAATATCAGCGTTCACTCATATCCCAAGGGATAGGTGCCAAAGCAAATCCCTTCAATTGGACTGGACTTCACACACACACACATATACATACGTTTTATATATATATATATAGAGAGAGAGAGAGAGAGAGAGAGACAGACAGACAGAGAGTGAGAGATTATTTAAATTACTGCAGTGCCATCACAGCATGGCATGGCATTTTCCCCTTCACATCTACACCTTTCATGACATCCTTGTCTGTTCAACTCCACTTCCTATATAGCACCATTCTAAGCATCTCCAAAAGCAGGAACATTCAGAAAGCATTTAATCTCTGTTATCGTGCATCAGTCAAGGAGGAAGTGATCTCTCCCATGAATTATATACAGGCTGTTTCATGGTATACTTAGAGACTTCTTTTTATTGCAGATGGTAACAGTTCCAACTCCTGAGAGCCATGTTGTGGCTTTTCATATTTTTACATACGAGATTAAATTATGCAGTGTTTCTTATCCATCAGCAGCCGATGTAAACAGTTAATCAAAAATTCATTTTAAAAGTTTTAACCAAAGAGGTGGTGGTGAATGTTTTAGAATCAACTGTTAAAAAATGGAACCAACGGCTGCTCCAGATCATGCAATCTAGACCTTTCAAATGCTCTAAAATGTTCTTGATTAGGATGTATAAAAATATTAAAATCCACCACAGAGTGCAGACAAACATGCTAACTAGCTCTGTGCAAGCACTGTGTTCTGATGGAGGCCTGGACACTGCAAATCTCATTTTTTGACCGCCGGGGTGAACAGAGGATCCATTGGTGTTTGTACAGCCAACACACAAACAAATATTTACAGGAAATGCAGAGACAGATGGAGAGAAAAACAGATTCATGTGACTGTTTTAAAACCTGCTGTTGCTCTATAATCCTATCCTGATATGCTTAGCAATGGAGTTTGCAACAAGAAGAGCCACTCTCCAGCCCCAGTTGGACAAATGGGGTTTTGGTTAAGTTAAAAAGACAAAAGTGTATTTGGAAGTTAGAGCTGAAAGATATTCATGTCTTTCCCTTTGCATGGTTTTCCTCTGGTGGAATGATCTCCAGAGCAGGCATGGGATAGGTAGGGAAGCAGAGCTCTTCAGTAGGTTTGGGCCTCACCAAGTTGCATTGACTCTCACGATTCACAAGTGTACAAGGACAGGCTCCTGAGTTGCACCTCTGAAAGGATGATCCCTGCACTCAACCTGATCCCAGCCCTGAGCACAAGTGCTGGCCTCATCTTAGTTTGCCCCTTAGAGTGGAGGTGTCAGTTCCCACTCTAGGTACAGGGGAGTCTGACTCTGTCCAGTACTTTCAGGGGAACCCCATCCCAGGCACAGGGGAACTTAACTCCAGGCAGCACACATTGCCACTCCATGAGCCGGCCCCAGCTGTTCTTCAGCTCAGCCCACAAAGTGCATTAGGAAGTATGAAGCCAGTATTGAGCTCTCTTGCTGTTCTACCTCTGAGATTCAGAGTTATTATTGCATGGGCAGTTCATGAATGTTTAACCTTTCTAGTGATTGGGGGAACATCTCTGATGCAGAGAGACCCGTAGCAGAAGGAGCCATTTCTCAAAGATGGGGATTATTTAATTTCATTTTATAAGACTAGTCAAAGGAATCAGGGCACAATGCATCAGCCATGCATATAAAATCAGAATTACTTAACCATAGCAACTTTTCTTATACCAATACAGTCATGAACAAGCAAAAAAATTATTAAAAAGGAAAAGGATATCAGGAATTTTTCCTTAGTGAAACATTAGGGCCCTATTTATTCCTGCACTGTTGTAATTTAGACTTAGTCTGGGGAGGGCTGGATTACTGGATGAGAATGGGGTGGGAGGGAGCATTTGTTACTGACCCCAGGGGCTAAGCATACTGCCATCAAGGTCTATTTTTAATGCTCACTTTCAGACAATGGAAATTAAAAGCCATGGAGCTCGTTGCATGCTACAGCCCAAAGCAGGCAGGGCTGTACCCTGGGTACTGTGCTCCTAACAGAGATCACATTCCTGACATGCAACTCTGAAATCACGTTGCTTCAGGTGGGAGCTGTTCTCGGAAGACTAGAGTATAATAAGAAAGATCCTAAGTTCAGTGGGAAGAAGAGTAAATGAGTAAAAAATAAATGTTAAATATCTCGAATAGAACTGAAAAACAATTAATTAACAAAAAAGAAGCCAGGATGAATTAACATAGGGCTGAAGAGATCTGCACTGCCATCGGAAAGTACAGGAAAGCTTCAAGGTGTAAGGTAAGTCTTATACAGATTTGTATTTTTGTTATCATATTCTAGAACTTTCCAATTCTGAAACTTTCCAGCTTTGGCACTTTCTAACAGTGAAACTCATGCAGCCCTACTCCGAGTCATCACAAGATCCCAGCGGAGATGCAGCATCAAAGGGGCAGGTGCTACTGAGAAAGGTATTCCCCATGTGTTGGAGAAACTGAACAAGTGACAGGGATTCTAGAAGCTGGCTTGAAACATTTTGTAATATCTAAGTGCCCGACGCTGCAAAGAGTTATCAAGAATAGTACTTACTACCATGTGGCGTCCCCCTGAAGGGACTCCCCACAGTGGTCAGTGCTATGCCCAGTAGTATGTTGTTTGCAGGATCAGGCACTAAGGTTATGTCCACACTGCAGGTCGGAAGGTGCCTCTCCGATCAGGTAGAGACACGCGCTAGCTCTGCTTGAGCTATCCTAATAAAAATAGCAGCGTGGACATTACGGCAAGGGTGGCAGCAGGGGCTAGCCGCCGGGCTTGGACTGGCTTGTACTTGGGTGGGTAGCCTGTGCTGCAATGTCTACAGTGCTATTTTTAGCATGCTGGCTCATGCAGAGCTAGTCTGTGTCTGCCTACCCGGGCTGGGAGGCATGCTCCCCCCTGCGGCGGAGAGATACCCTAAGGGATTATAACTAGTCAATGCAGTTTGCTTTTCAAATCAACCCCTACCCCTCTTCCAAATCCATTTTTCATCTGAAATGTGAGTTTCTTTTTAAAGAGCAGCTTCAGGCCACCTATCACAGGGGCAGCAGCTGGGGTTGAAGCCCAGGACATGACCCTGTGGCTTTTACAGTCATTGGTGAATTACTTAAAAATGAATCCATGTTAAAAGATATTCTCGTTCCCATGAGATGAGGTTTTTGTTTGGAAATTGGTTTTGTATTGCCCCAAAATAAAATAACTAATTCTTTTGGTTGGGGACTCCCCCTCACCCCCGTTTCCTCTTTTATTCTTTCCTCTCCCAAGCAAGGGCTAGGGCTTCACATTAGGTTGAACCTGTCCCTCTAGCCCAGGGCTGAGTTGTCCTCCTTCCACATCCGAGCTGTTTGAAGCCTAGGACTCCTTCCTCCCCAGGGACATAGTACTCTGCCTCCTGCACGTTCCCAGTCTCAGCCAGTTAAGGAATAGACATGGAGCTTAGGTTCCAAACTCAGCTTTCACCAGCCCATGGTCTGGTTAGTACTATCTACGGGGGCACGCACTTGTACTAATAGACTCCAAGGCTGAAGGCCTTTAGTCTCCCTCACATTCAAGACAGCACGTATTACTGAATGCACATTGCCACAGTTGTGTTATTATCTACTCTACTAGCTCAAAGAGTTAGAACACCAGGGCCGTCCCTAGAAGGGTGCGGGGCCCGAGGCGGAAGTGACGGATTCATCTCTTCCATGACTGTGTTGGCCAATCGTAGTGGCCCGCGGGGCCCCCCAAAGTGTGGGGCCCAGAGCAGTTGCCCTGATTCACCCTACCCAATGGATAACTCTGTAGAACACCTTACTCAGATGCAGTTGCAGAAGAAGGCAGTTTGAAAATATGCACCCAAACCGTTTCACGTGACAAGAGTCTCTATATTTCATTCTAACAAATAAATATTTTTAATTAAAAACTAGTGCTTATGTAATGGATTTTCTGAAAATTTAACTGAACTGGAAATATAAATTGTGCCCTTTACAGGTTTTTATGAGGTAAAACAAGCCTCAATTTTGGTTTTAAATTGTTTTTCTTTTTTTTTCTTGTTTTTACATGTGCATTAGGTCCTCACTTTCTCCTCTGAGGCCAGTGAGACCTGAAGGGTTGCAGAGTTTAAGAACACGCATCTTCCCACCCCCCTTTTAGCTGGGGGCAGGGAGGGCTGTTGTCAGATTAGAGCCTTGTGTGACATCACTATTCAAGTCCTCCAGCACAAAGAGAAAAGTGTGAACCTCATATTTCTTCTATAACAAGCAACCAGCAATTTAAAAAATATTATGTTAAGAGGCTCTTTTTATACAGCATAAATGAGGAGGGCAGGGTAGCTTTTTGTTTTTTCATTTGCAGTGCGTATTTAATGATCTCCAGTCCAAAACCAGCTGTGTTCCTCAGACAGTGTGCGCTATTAAAATGGGTCAAGGCTGGTTTAGGAAAACAGTCAGCAAGAGCCACCCTAAATTTTGGGGTTTTTTTTGGTAGGAGTCACCATTTTTGCAGTGCAACCCACAAAAACAGTGTGTGTAAACTCCCCCTGCTGGTTCTGCAGCTACAGCTTGCCCCTTCACTACACAGGCAGGTGAAGGTCTATGTTCAGACGTTCCACTGGAACTTTGCTCTGGGTACCTAGCACGAACACTATTAAGTAACATAGTGGCTGGCTCTCTGCGTTGCTTTGCTAGATCTTGGGTTTAATTTGTGGTCACATACTCCCTGGGATGTGAAGGGCAGGAAGCACAGGAGACAGCTTGCTCAGCCCCTGCTAGCTGGACTGAGGTCGGGTGGGAGAAGGTATGTTTCCACAGCCAACTAAACAGCTTTGCAGATGGTCTCTGGAGAGTGACCTATCCGTTCCTCCTCTGCTTGAAGTACAGTGGGCATGGCATGGGTCCCTAACAGCGGTGCGAAGTCGAGAAAACAGACATGGGGCTCCTCCAAACTCTCACAGGAATCCAGAGGACTCTGCTGGAGAGAGCAGATGGCCAAAAAGCAAGGTTCCATGTCCTTTATGAACACAGGAAGCGAGTAACTCAAGGAATCCCCCCAAAGCAGAAGGGAGAGTCCCTTTCAGACACAGCAGAAGATTAAATGAGAAAGACCCCACTGATTGTGTATCTGCTCCACCACCAGGCTATAGCATTAACAATCTCAATGATGCTGCATGGATTTGTTTGCGAATGGGACACACGCTCTCAGATACCGGAGGAAGCAAGCTTAACTATCTTCCTTCGCTGTTAAACCCCAGAGAAAAACATACTAATAATGGATCATGCTAAGGATGTGACAAAAAACAAACGGGGCTAGGAAATTCAAAGTTAAAGAGGGATGGCATCACGCCCTATGCCCAGTAGGAAGGGTTAAGGATGTAGTGTACTTCTGGAGTCTGCCAAATGGTGACAGACTGCAGAGTCCTTCCCAGCATGGTAGCTGGATTGCTCAGTGTATGTCCTGCCCACTACTGCAAGTAGGAGTACAACGGGCACCCTCCTGGATCAAAGGCAGCAGCTCTGAGAGCGGAGCAGAAAGGAGCCTGCTTTGGCAGATGCAGAAAGAATTGTGCCTCATTTGCTAAGCTGGAAGTCATTCTAGGCAGCTCTTACAGTGGCAGGGTTCACGTGGCGTGGAAGGGAGAGCTATTGGTGGGGGAGAATTTTTAGGTCACAGTTTTGGTTTTCTTGTTACAAACTATTAATGGTATTTAAATAAATTACAGGTTTGTTAGTCCAGAGACAGGGAATCTGGGATATAGAGGGAAAATCTGCTCTGAACACTACTGGTTTCTCACAACTCCATGGATGTGCAGGAGATCATCATAGAAAGGACTTGGCTAGGGCAGGATGCATACGTGAATCCAGGAAGTCTGCCCTGTATACAAAGCAGGGACCAATCTGCGGTAGTGTCTTGCTCTCCTAGAGTTAAAACACACACTCCTCCCAGACCCAAGAAGTGTAACAGTAACATTATTAATAACAATACTAATAAATAGCCACAAGTAACAAGAGTCCTGTGATGTAGAAGCAGAGGTTGTGGGATGCAGCAGGCACACACCTATCACTCATTTGTCCATTTGTTTCTTAAAAGGTACAAAAATGAATCTTCTTTCAAGTATTAAAAAAATAAGTTAATTGACATAAAAGGGTCAAGGTGACTGAGGGCCCAGGCAGGTCTTAAGCTTCATTTCTGATGTGCAAAAATGAAATAGAGGGGGAAAAAAACCGAACACACACTGAAGAGTCTCAACAACGTTTCACCCAGAGGTGGCTCCCTCTCTGGGTTTAAAAGCTAGGGAATGCCATTTGACGACCCCGCCCCTCAAAACACTTACCATTGTCCCACAAAGTCAGTATTTTCCAGTGTCAAAATGGTCGCAACAAAAAACAAACTAGATAAACTTATTAGCCATTGAACAGTGGCCATGAAGACACGAGACCAGCAGTAGCTCTCTGTCCAGCATGTAGCAAAGTGGGGGAGAACGCCACACTCTCTCTCTATTCTTCTTCTCATAACCATAACTCTAGAAAGTAAGATAGAGAGAGAGAGAGAGAGAGAGTGTCCTCTGAGGCCCTTGTCTCCACAAAAGCCAGGACGGGCAGAAGAGGTTTCAAACAACCACCACCAAAGTTTTCTCTTTCCAGTGTTCCTTCACACCCATGCATAATGCTCGCCTCAGGGTTGTTTCTTTGGTGGGGAGGAAGAATAAAACAAAGGTGCTGCTCTGGGCTTCAGTAGCTCTCCTTTAGCTGGTTAACTCCCCCAAGAACTGCTACAGGCTGCTGTGGTTTTCAGGAGAGGGTATCCACTTCTCTCCCTCTCATTAAAAAATGCTAATAGTGGAAAAAGGGAGAGAGATCAGACTGCAGCAAATCCAGTTTGGTTAAGGGTTTTTCCTCATTAAAAGGTAATAAATCTCTCTACAAAAAGTTTACCCCTTTCCCTCATATCACAAAATGCGAATGGCCCCTTGTATAGGACCCAAAGAGACTGTGCAATCTCAGGCCATCATCTTCAGCTTGGTTTGCAGACGTTGTGCGGGACCCAAGCCTCTAGAACCAAACCCAATTATCAAAAGGCTTCTGGGTGCTTCAAACTGAATTCCTGCATGCTGCAGAACCCTTAACAAGGTTTCCCCCTCAAGATCTCTCGATCCAGGTAGTTCTGGCAAACTCAGCGTAGGCCAGCTGGATAGCACAGACCAGCAGAGGTGAGTATGTTAGCTCAGGACCAGTTCAAGCTAGAGCCCTTGGACAGCATAACAGCTTCCAGGTCCTTGTCCTCCTCTTTTTCTCGAAGCCGCTGCTCCTCAAGGAGGGCCACCAGAGAGTCTCTCTGCTCCACGACTTCTAGCATCTCATTCAGGATCCTCTTCTCTTCTGATAGCTCCTCATCTGTTTTCAGGTGATCTGGAGAAAAAGTCAAAAGTGTCAAAGGATCTAGGACCGGAAAGAGATACATGAACATACTCCATGGATTGCCGTTCCTCTTCACCCTTACCTTCCACTGCCATCCTTTCCCGGAGTTCCTGCTGTAACCGGCTCTGCCTATCTTCCAGCTCCAATTCTCGAGCACTGAAAGGAGAAACAAAGCAAGAATGAACTGATGGTGCATGCTGTGCTGGCAAGGAGCCACCACACAGATTGCCACTTAAGCAAATTAAAACATTCTGGTGTTTACTCTCCTCCCACCCTATTGTATTTACCTTCCCAGACCCCTGCTTCAGCACTGTTCTGACTCCTTTTGGAACAACACTGGAGATGTGTAGCCGTTTCTTTCCTGATTAAAATGTAATCTTAATGCTTCCACATCACTAGTCTTCAACTGGAGTGGGCAGACAGAGAAAGAGAAGAAGATTGTGGAGACAGATTCCCTTTTTCACATGGCTGGGCAGCAACCAGGCCATCTGCTTTCTCAGACTGATCTTATTCACACTGTTACCAGCTGGATTTAAAATCCAAGACAGATACAGTGTGAAGGAGCAGATGCATCTGCAGTTATTGCTCAAGCCACATTTTACCTCTGTGCAAGTCTCCCTCCTGCTACATCCCACTCTGAAGAAAAAGTTACCTGCCAAGTAATGGATGACTGAGGGCATTGCCTCCTCAGATTCCAATCTGAGCAGCATTTTGGGGCTTCTCTGGTAGTAGCATCCCAGAGCACACTGAGCTTTTGAAACACCAAAGTCAAGTCTTGCCTACTCAGAAACTTGTTTCAGTAGGATGTAGTGCATTTTGGGGCATAAGCACTATGGAAGCCTCTGGTGTTCCTAAGCTGGAAAAGAGCTGTAGCATTTGCGCCCAGTTGGAAGGCTATGGGGTCCCACTGGAGACAGAGAAGTGAGGACTACAGGACCCATTTAAAGAAAGGACAGGAATGCAGACTGCTTGGCTGCATTCAAACAAGGACCTTGCACCAACAGAACAGTTTGCCCAATCGTCCCCCAAAGACCACTTGCCACTAAAACTACAGATGAAAGATTGGGGATGAGCCTGCAAGCAAGGGATGTTTTGTACGGAACACGCCTGGGAGGACTGTGGGAGGGCTCAAACCTTTGGTTACATTCACACTTAGGACTTACCAAACCTTTTGTGCTTCCACTCATCACGAGTTCTTTTTGCACTAGAGACTCTTCCAAAATGTACCTTTATTAACTTACTGGCTGGGAACTGCATTCTATCCAACACCACTATCTGAACACTTATTACTGGCCTCTTACCATCACAGCCAAGACAGTGCTGGAGGGAGGCCCTGCCAGTACTACCTGTGAGTAATCTCATCTCTGAAGCTAAAAGAAAAGGAGTACTAGTGGCACCTTAGAGACTAACACATTTATTTGAGCATCAGCTTTCGTGAGCTACAGCTCACTTCATTGGAGTACTCCTTTTCTTTTTTGCAAATACAGACTAACACGGCTGCTACTCTGATCTCTGAAGCTGTGCTACCCCATGCAGAAAGCCCTCTGCTCACTCACAATATCATCAGCTCAGACTCGTAGCGCACCAACGCGTTCTTCTCCTGCACCAGCTTGAACCACTCCTGCATCAGCTTTGGATCATCCTTCTTCCCCATGCCTGCCAAGAGAGAAACTTCGTAAGTTTTCAGGATGATGCCCTGCCATCCCCATGAGCCCGACAGCCAGGAACAAAAATGGGGGCAAAATGTGCAAAGAAAGCCGAGCAAGATGCTGCTAGAGCACTCCCAAGCCGGGTCCGTTTAGTTTGCCTACAGCACACAGGAAGAGGAGGGCACAGAACTGTAGGTGTCACCTCCTGAAGGATTCTCTCCTCCTTGGATCAATGCATTCTGAATCCTTTTTTGCCATTGCTCCTCCCTCCTCTTCTCATTATGGTAAACCCATAATTTAGTGGCTCACTTCTATTTAGCCTTCCTTAAACGAACTTGAACTTTAACCATGTTTTTGCACCTCCTCCATGTTACTACCTTTAATGTATGCTGACTGGAACCTTTCCCACCTCCCCCACAAACCCTCTGTATCCCTTATGTTATACCCTCCTGTCCTTCAGTCACATCAACTGAATCAGTTCTTTTATTGGCTAAGAGTGGCCCCTTGCCTACCTCTACTGAAACCCTTCCTTTTCACTGGCTCATCTGCTGAAGATTTCTCCTCTCCTGTGGTTCCTTCCTGCTACATCTCCACTCTCTTTGGTGAGTCTTCTCCTAGTGCATCTATTAACAGCAGTTCACTGCATCCTACAAGTACGTTATTCCTAGAATTGCTCAGCAGCATTAGAACTACACACACAGAAACCCATGCTACGCTTGCTAACATAAAAAGGAGAGAGCGAGAACCCACTTCAGAACTAATTTTTTAAAATTTCATTTTAAAAGAAACAACCCTGCCTCCTTTTCTCATAATCCACAGGCAAGGCTTCAATGGTGTCACATGTAGTGCAGATTAAATTGCTACACTATGTTCTCCAGAACTTTCTATAGTGATTTGAGATATGCCTCAGACCCTAGAATACACCATAGAAGCTCTTCCAAGGTAATTCCTATTTTGGGCCCCTTGATCCTGCAATGAACTACATGCGGGGAGAACCCTCCCTCTGCCTGCAGGAAGACCCCCTCAAATAATTGGGCAGCTGCCTGCCTGCATGGAGTTTGTTTCAAGAGGGGGCCTTCAAAATGAGCTCAAAGGTGCAGAGATTTGAGCAGAGCACCTGTTGGTATTTATAATGCAGGCCATTACCAGCTGCATGACTGAAAGTTATCTTCTCTCTCTCCACAGACTAACAAGGCTTTCTAGATTAATTGACATCTCTGCCTAGTTATACGTTATGGACACTCAGCATCTATATTAAAAGCAGCTTCTCTTTCTTTTAAGCACAGTCTTATGGAGGCCAGAAATGGCCAAACAGAAGGTTTTCTATTTAAATTCCAAACACTGAGAAAGCTGGAAATATGTGCCACTCCAATGACCAGTAAATTCATATCAGTGCCCTGCCTCCATACCTAGCTCCAACCAGCCCTTACACTGAGGTCAAATGGGAGATCCAGTAACTCCTGCTAAGCAGCAGCTTCCCTGCTTAGAAATACCTGCTACTGAAACACAGAAACAATAAATGTTTAGGGGATACTACCCCCCGATCCCCCATAACAGATTCTGGCTCTCTGGATTTTATACCAATCTGTTGCTCAGTTCCAAGCATTCTTTTCTGAACCTCTCTGCACAATATGCCCAGGTGACCATGGGAGGGGGGAGCTTAGACATGCAGATGTCCAGTGCAATGAAGCCATGAAAGCACTGGGAAGTCTCCCCACTCTTTCCAGTGCCAGGATGTAAAATAAATGCCTCTAAGAAACAGCCAAATACACCTGGCTACTGACCCATGAAATAGATCGTATGTATTTATGTATTTGTTGTTAACAGCCAATGAGCAGAGGGGTGTGGGAGGGTTGGGGAGGGAAGGCGGACAATTGATGTGAGAGCACCATGGAAAGCAGAGTAAGTGGTTAGCAAAGTTACGCTGTGATCACATTCCACCCCCTACCCCTTCATGCCTTGGCAATGGAAACTCTACTATAACAAACTCCATCTGGGACAAATTCAAGAATGCACTCAGCAAGACATGGATCACGGAAGACCAGTCTGGTTTAGGTTGGTTGGTTTTTTAAAGCTCAGGGAAGTTTTGCAAACCGGTCTTTGTAAGGACACAGCATTCCTTTAATCCATCCATACAAATTAAACAGTCGTTTATGGAAGGAGATTCTCTTCCCTCATCCCCCGCCCCGTCTCCCAGACACCTATGACGAAGAATAGAGAAATCAAATACACCAAATGAAAACAGGAGCTTTAGCGTATAATACTGCTGCTGCCACTGCAAATCAATGTCCCGGTGACCTTGAGACTACCCCTTCCCCAGTTAAAAACAGAAAAAGGGATACTGTACCTTTAAAAATTGCACACTCATACAAGCTTGTTACAGAGGTTGCTACTGAGACTGAGGGTAGGAGACAGGAAGGGATTTGGAGGTTGGATATATAGATTTTTTTTTGTCACCAGCTGACTAGTGCTGCTATGAAAATCCAGCTGGGGTGGAGGGGGATAGAGGTTGCGTGAGGTTACATTACCTTCATGGGCACAGCAAGGGCAGAAGGAGAGAGGTCTACGACGTGGTGTCCCGGCATTGGGCTCAACTTCAATAAGACCAAATGAGGAAGAGGGAGGAGAGGAGAAAGAGGAAGGAGGAGAGGAAAGGGGTGAAATAAAAGACAAGCAGAGGACAAAAAGCATAAGAGTGAGAAAGAAAGGAAACAACAAGAAGAAAAGAAAAGAAAAAACACAAGAAATGGAGAAGCAGAAACGAGGGAAACAGTCTACAGATGAGTACGGTCCCTCATCAGCACAGATAACAGACAGGAGTAGACTGAGGCAGTGGGAGAAGCAGTTACTGAGCTGTACAGTTACTGGGAGGAAGATTACTCTTGAGTTTTTCCTGTTCATTGTAGGTTTTCAGTTGCAGAGGCTTCACTCTAATACCATGTTGAGTGTATGAGATACCAGGACAGTAGGTGAGGACAGGTGAATAATTATCTCTGGCTGATAAATGTCAGCTTTTAAAATAAGGTCTAGAAGGTCTCCGTTGCCTGTACGGGTCTGAAACTTGGGGCCCTGAGCCCTGCCACCCGAGGCTGAAGCCAGAGCAATGGAGCTTCATGGGGGCCCCTGTGGCCCCAGGCAATTGCTCTGCTTGCTACCCCCTAACACTGGCCCTGCCTTTTATACACAGAAAACCAGCAGTTGTTGTGGCACAGGTGGCCTGTGGAGGTTTTATAGCATGTTGGAGGGGCATGGGGGGAGAGGGAAAAGACTCGGAAAGAAAAAGGTTGAGAATCTCTGAGCTAGACGGTCATCCCCGAGGGGGGGAGGGAGGGAGGAGACACAATATGAAATTGAGCCCACTTTTAAAGAAACAACATGTCCACCAATAATTAACAACATTTCTAACAGAATGTCAGGAGAACAGATGCACCAAGAAGTGCCTGAATATCAAAGCTGGAGGCTTAAGACACCTGCGTAGTTAAAAAGGAAGGAATGCCTGTGTCAGGGAAAGGCCGTAACTCAACACCAATTATATGACGAGGAGAATTCATAACTCACAGAATTCAAAGCAACTCAGCATATATGACAGTGAGGCAGCTCTCACTGTAGAGACCTACAATATTGGCGAACAGGGAGAGGAGTTAGAAGGGACCATCACAGAACTAGCACAGCACACACAGGACACACTGGAGTGACGGGGGAAGCACATCAGCTTGCAAAACCCTGTGCTTGAGCAGCACGGCTCCCTCAGACAGGGCATCTCTTTTGCAGGGGGAGTAGGAAGGGAGGTTCCACAGTTGGGAATGTGATAGTTACAGCTCGCGCCTCATGTCACTTCCATTCATAAACCCGCTTTTCAGTTCATGTAGAACTTTTTTTTTTTAAAATAATGCATTTATTTTAGACTTGGTCTGAGCCCGGAAGTGTTTTTCCTGGGAGAAAAAGTTTTCAAGCTTTTGAGATATTTTTTCAGATTTTTGTTGTTGGTGGTGGCCTGAAAACTCTGCCCCAGCTTTGTTGAAATATTTCAAACTTGGTGGCTGAGGAATTCCTGATTTGCCTTGTTAATAGAAAATTTAGCTTGGAAATAAAACTCTGGAAATGTATGTAAAAGTTAGTGTGCTGAGTGTACACCATCTGAACATCCCATCTCTTCACTGAAACCCTGCTTCTGTGACAGATTTCTGTTACCCGGGGGGGAGCGGGTCTGTGGGGGTGTAACACCACTTCTGTGAAGAACATGAACTATAACCCACATCAGTGTATCATTATCACCACTTCCATCTCTTGCTATAAAAATATTCTCAGTGTTTTCTTGGCTGATCTGTCTTTTAGACTGTGAGCTCCTTGGGGACAAAGACTTTTTTGTGTGTCTAAGAGCACTGAGCAGAGTGTCCAAGCAGAACTTTCAGAAACTTGCACCAAACTGTGCTGCTACAAATGTTCAAAGTTGCAGATGCTGGAAAGATTACGTGTCACTTACATTTGAATATACAATCATTTTAAGAACAACAAGTAGTTCTAGAAATAGCAGTTGCAGACCACACAGGCTCTTATTTGTCGTACAAGAATTGAGCAGGCCCAGCACGTTATGTGGTCTGACTGGTAGTCCACGGAAGCATGGCTGTTAGGCTAGTAAATGCAGTTAGTACTGGAACACCAATGAGTGAGGTACCAGGAGTAGGTATAAACCCTGGTCTGCTGCATAACGCTTCAGAACATATCCAACAGTGAAGACTATATTGCTGCTACTATTCTGTAACGACAGCCCATCTTCTTGCTCTTCTTGCAGTTCTGGTTGAACTTTCTTTTCTTGCTCCTAACCTCTTATTTGCAAATACCTATAATCCCTTCAACCTCTCCCCAAGCAAAATGTGCGAACAATCAAGTTATGAAAGCTTCGGGTCCCTGTAACAACTGTAACTCTTGCCCATTACATGACTATTAATACTGGTCTGCCAGTAAGACAATGTACATAAACATAACTCTACAATGCATAATTCACGTTAATTGCATTATTTTCTATTCTGCCATATAAAAGCATGTAGCATGTCATGTCAGTGCATACAAGTTATGTGATCATATATACCAGAGCAGAGATAAGGTTGTTTTGGGAAATTTAACTCAATCTCCTAACTTCTGTACAACCAAAATCTTTGTTTTAGAAGGTGACCAGCAATACTTTTTAAAAAATGAAATACGCATAGGTTTATACTGAACACCCCAAATAGCAAGGGACAGAGGAAAGTGCAATCCTTTCTGAGTTTAAAACTTACCTGGGTTTGGCAGCGGGCTGAGCGGGGCCGGCGGCTGGGACCTGGCAGGCAGCCGTATGCCATTAAAAATCAGCACCATAGGCCGTGCCATAGGCAGGGCCAGCTCCAGGCACCAGCATTCCAAGCAGGTGCTTGGGGCGACAATCTGCGTGCCGGCAGGGCGTTGCTGCAGTGGCGGCGATTCTGTGGCAGCCTCTATCTTTATGGAGGAGATGGTATGATGGGATAACATGATTTTGGTAATTAATTGATCTTTAAATATTCATGGTAAATAGGCCCAATGGCCTGTGATGGGATGGGATCTGAGTTACTACAGAAAATTCTTTCCTGGGTATCTGGCTGGAGAATCTTGCCCATATGCTCAGGGTTTAGCTGATCGCCATATTTGGGGTCGGGAAGGAATTTTCCTCCAGGGCAGATTGGAAGAGGCCCTGGAGGTTTTTCACCTTCCTCTGTAGCATGGGGCATGGGTCACTTGCTGGAGGATTCTCTGCTCCTTGAAGTCTTTAAACCACGATTTGAGGACTTCAGTAGCTCAGACATTGGTGAGAGGTTTTTCGCAGGGTGGGTGGGTAAGATTCTGTGGCCTGCGTTTTGCAGGAGGTCGGACTAGATGATCATAATGGTCCCTTCTGACCTTAGTATCTATGAATCTTCAGCCGCCCGCGACGACAAATCGGTGGCAGCTTCCATCTTCAACCGCTTGCAGCGGCGGCAATTCGGCGGCAGCTTCTATCTCTTCAGCCACTCGCAGTGGCAGCAATTCGGTGCACTGCTTGGGGCAGCAAAAATGGTAGAGCCGGCCCTTGCCATAGGTTGTTGACCCCTGCTCTTAGCAGGTCATCCTTCAGTCTTCTTTTCTCAAGATTAAACATGGCCAATTTTTTTAACCTTGCCTCTTAGATCAAGTATAATAAACCTTTTATCATTTTTGTTGCTCTCCTCTGGAATCTCTCCAGTTTGTCCACATCTTTCCTAAAGTGTGGCAGCCAGAATTGGACACACTACTCCAGGTGAAGCTCACCAGTGCCGAGTAAAGCAGGACAATTATCTCTCGTGTTTTACATACAACATTCATGTTATACACCCCGGAACGATATTAGCCTTTTTCCAGCTGTATCACATTGTTGATTCATGTTTAATTTGTGATCTAGTATAACATCCAGATCCTTTTCAGCAGTACTATCACCTACCCAGTTATTCCCCATTTTGTAGTTGTGCACTTCATTTTCCCTTCCTATGCTAAGTACTTTGCACTTGTCTTTATTAAATTTCATCAAATGTTGATTTCTGACCAATTCTCCAATTTGTCACAGTCATTCTGAATTATAATCCCGCCCCCCAAAGTGCTTGCAACCACTCCTAGTTTGATGTCATCTTCAAGTTCAATAAACATACTCTCCACTCCATTAACCAAGTCCTTAATGTAAACATTGAATAGTACCAGACTCAGAACTGACAAATCCATACTGGCTATTCCTTATAACCCTATTATCCTCTAGGTGCTTACAAACTGATTGTTTAATAATTTATTCCAGTATCTTTCCAGGTATTGAAGTTAGGCTGACTGGTCTACAATTCCCCGAGTCCTCTTTGTTCCCTTTTTAAAGATAGGTAGCATGTATATCCTTCTCCATTCCTCTGGGACTTCACCGATCCTCCAGAAGTTCTCAAAGAAAATTGCTAATGGTTCCAAAATTGCTTCAACTAGTTCCTTAAGTACCACAGGATGAATTTCATCAGATCCTGCCAACTTGAATAGATCTATTTTATCTAAATATTCTTTAACCTGTTTTCCCCCTATTTTAGCTTGTGTTCCTTCCTCCTTGTTGTTCATATTAATTGTATTGAGTATCTGGTCACCATTAACCTTTTTAGTGAAGACTGAGGTAAAATAGACATTAAACATCTTCGCCTTCTTGCTATCATCAGATATTAGCTCTCCTTTGCCATTAAAGAGAGGACCTACACTTTCCTTCATCTTTCTACTGCTCCTAATGTATTTCAAGAACCTCTTCTTATTGTTTTATGTCCCTTATTAGGTGTAACTCATCTTGTACCTTAGCCTTTCTGATTTTGTTCCTACACGCTTGTGCTATTCTTTTGTACTCCTCCTTAGCAATTCATCCATGTTTCCACTTTCTGTAGGATTCCTTTTTGATTTTCAGGTCATTAAAAAGCTCCTGATGGAGCCATATTGGCCTCTTATTTATAATGCTTCCTATCTTTCCTTCACACTGGGATAGTTTGAAGTTGTACTTTTAATACCGTCGCCTTAAGAAGCTGCCTGTTCCACTTAACTATTTCCCTTAGATTTT